TTGAGGAGTCCAGAGTGAACTTCACACTAGAGCCAAGGTCAGGGCTATTGTTCTCTTTAACTCATATTTGAATACACAGAGGGTATCCTACCTCGGGCTTGCAGACTTCTTTTCTCAAGAAGTTCTTCATATGTATTCTAACATTGTGATCCCTTAGAAACACCCATCTCTTTTAGTACCTCTTTCTTGTGTACGTTCCTGGTGGTTTAAATAATTCATGTGTCCTGCAGCCGCTTTTCTAGTAAAGGATAAAAATGAAAGAATAATTCCTACATTTGCAAAGGAATCAGACAACAAGCCTTTTTCCCTCTCTAAATCTGGTAACTATTCTATCTGATAAAGAAACACTGCAAAAGAATTTTTCCTCTGTGGGTAAAGCTATCCAGAGACAAAAGACAATGCTAACATAATTACTTGCTATGTATTATTAAAAAGAATAATTGGAATTCAGAAACTACGCAGTGCTTTAAAACTTCAAATAAGTCACTAAAGTTCTAATATTCTGGGACTGCTTCTATACCATGACATTACTATAACTCTTTCAACTTTTACTGTAACGTAATATGTCAAGGAATCCTATCTCTTTTCTATAGAAATACCTGAATGCACTAAGGTAACAAAATATTTACACAGAAAAAATTGAACCATAATTTTAAAAAAGTATTTGATAATATACTAATATATGTATACAAATTTAGAGCCTTGGAAATCAATATGAATTGGTGCTATCAGAAAAGGTTTATAGAGAAGGTAAGATTTGAGATGTGTTTTAGGAACAGAGACATTTTAAACTGTGTCCTAAAGTGAAAATCATCTTCCATGATTGTGGGAGAAGATAGAAGACGGGGCATACCACTACGCTAAAATAACCCTGCACTTATTTAACTGATGAAGCAAGGACTTACGGATAGCATTGTAAAGAAGAATACAAGAACATCTGGATGAAAATAGCTTTCTAGATGAGAATGGTTGCATTTTTTAATGGCTATTCTGGTAGGAAGGACAACATGTGATATTCATCGACCCTCTTTCTCAGACCCTTTTTATAACAGCTAGTATGGAAAAATCTGTCTTTCTTATAAACATTTTCCCTGGGGAATGGTTTCCATTTATGTGTCAGATGCTTTGTTGTTTCTCTCTTGCACAGCGTGTATGCTGTCATTTGCACTTAAGAGTGGAATGGAATTGGGAATCCTGGTTTCTTGCTCTGGCTAGAGGTCCCAAGTCTGCATTGTGATTTTGGGCAAGTCACATTGTTCTTCTAGATCTAATTTAACTCATCTGTAAAATAAGATGGTTGAATTAGACAATTTCATGGGTTTTCTTAGATGCCAATATTTTATGACTCATGATCCCAAGCAAGACTACACCTATTTATAAGGATGTTTCGCTTGTTTTTATTAAGAGCAACAATAACTACATATTTTCAGTTTACTCAATTATCAAAAAAGTGTAAAATCCATACACACTTTGGATTTGAAACATTGTGACTTTGATAAAAATGTATCCATGTAGGCTGGACACGGACACGGTGGCTCACGCCTGTAATCCCAGCACTTTGGGAGGCTGGGACGGGTGGATCAGGAGGTCACGAGATCATCCTGGCTAACTAACACAGTGAAACCTGTCTCTACTAAAAATACAAAAAATTAGCCGCAGGTGGTGGCAGGTGCCTGTAGTCCCAGCTACTCGGGAGGCTGAGGCAGGAGAATGGCATAAATCCGGGCGGTGGTGCTTGCAGTGAACCGAGATTGAGCCACTGCACTCCAGCCTGGGCGACAGAGCAAGACTCTGTCTCAAAGAAAAAAAAAATGTATTCATGTTTCTGTTGGTTATTCTACAACTTGGTGAATCCTTCCCATTTTAGAATGCCAAAGAATGAGATGCATCCTAATATCCAATTGGATGTCAGTATCCTCAGATAGCATGTTTCAAAATCAACCTTCACTGTAGTTGTTTTTGCTAGTTGTAGTTGTTTTGACCCTCTTGGAATTTGTGCAAACACACTGCTTTCTCTCCCCTGTATTCAACCAGAGCCAAGAATCTGATAAATGTGTTTATCACAGGTCCTTCAGATGCCCTGCAGATGTAAACCTCTACAGTGTTTATGTTTCCTTTTGTACTGCTGAAGATACTGTGCTGGGTCCTGTTCTGCATTCTTGGGGAAAAACAGGGAGCTCACACTTTGTGATTAGTGAGCAAAGACAGACCATCCCCAGCACTGCTGCTCGAGCTGTCTCTGTTGCCCACTCATCGTCTCTTTCTATTATGCTTGCACTCTGAAGGACATTTGCCAGAGCCAGACTCCCTGGATCCCTGTTATTTGTGTCTTTTCTCACCTTCAACATGATCTGAACTAGTGTTTTCATTTGTTAAAAACAACAAGAACATTCACTGGGAAACTTTTGCTGGAATTGCTTCAGGTCATCATAGCTATTTATTCCCTGTCATAAACTGTAATTCTCCATTTCCCTTACTCCCACATCAGGGGAGTTGGTGGTTTATGGTGGACAGTCAGTGGAATTTGATTCAACAGTGGAATATTTCAAAGAACTACTGAGATTATGTAGCAGGTTGTAATACTAAGAACAAAACATAAAATATTCTTGGTCTTGATTGCAGTTGGCAGTACAAGAAGAAATAGGCTTATAAAAAACATAAAAGATTTACAATTTGTGGTTGCACCTAAGAAAGAATTTTCTTTGAGAGAAGGAAACAAATCATGAGATTGGCTTAATAAGGGATTTTCTCTATATGATTAAAAATAGAATTATCTCTATATTATTAAAAACAGAAATTTACCTGTATGATTAAAATGGCTTAGGGTCTAATTGGTCTCAGTTAAAACAAAGTACAGAAGCTAAGGATTTTTTTTTGCAGACTTCCGTTTTGGGGGCATGAAATTCAGATTATTGTGCTATTACAAGGGCTTGTATTATCTAGAAAGACCTGAAGTACAAGACAAAATGATTTGGAAAAATGAACATGAATGGGAGAAATGCTTCCAAATATTAAATAGGAAAGAGAATACAAGGGCAAGGTAACTACTAAAAGGTATTTAATCCTAGGTGTTTGAATTCTAGTGCTGATCTTATTGCAAACTAATTTTGCTAATCGCTAGTGGTACAATCAGTGATGTTGGTTAGAATATTTTAGGCATTGGTAGATCTCAAAAATTATTATTAAATTTGCTCAATTTCCAAGATGCAGCTGATCTTACATTCTTACTGAGTGTCACAGAAGTGCCACCAAAGCTGGGCCCCTAGTTGAGGCACCATAAATGTAAAAATCTAAAGAGAAGGTTGACTGCACAAAACTATAAAGCAGAGAGAATGGTGTGGTAGCTTCTTGGCTGGAGGAATCTGGTTGAGATCATATGACATTTTTTGCTACAGAAACAGTCTTCTAAGGACAAGAGGAGTTTCACATTTTCCCTGAAAACAAATTCAACAAGCATTTACTATATATGGGTGCTTTAATTATCAAGAGGAAATGTGCAGTCTCCATTCTAAGCTTCAAGGGTTTTCCTGGTAAGGAAGCATTGATGTAGAAGGGTTCTCTTAGCAAAAAGACTTAGAGACCTTAGTTGTCAGGCCTCTGGATTTAAGCTACATTTTGACTCTGTACACAAATCTAGAACATTCCCTCAATTTGTAATAAGAACAATATTATAGCTGAGGTAGGTGTCATCATGACTCGTGCTAATAGTTTTACTGAGTACGTTGTGTTTGTATTCTCTCTGTTTATAATCAGAGAGAATCAGGAGAATTTGCATATTAGAAGAGACAGCCAAAAGTACTTGCTAAACAGTGAATGGCCAAGCTCTCCTTTCTCCCCATCCTCACTACAACGCCTCATAATTTTCTTGGGGCTGAGCCTCTTTGGGGAAAAGCTAAGGGGAACATAAGTCCAGTTCATTAGATGGAGCGTATGACTTGGGTTTTGGCAGCATGGTGTTGCAAATCTCTGGGACTCACACGGGCTCTGCAGAGCTCAGGTTTTAGGGTGACAGTTTGATGAAGTTGTCGGCATAGCTGGTATTCCACTCAGTTTCACATATACATCGCTCCTGACTGGGCTGGGTGGGGGCAGCAGGACAGGAGCATACTACTCTCTGACTGCTATGGACAACCTGGACAATTATCTCACCAGGCTACCTTCAGGGGAGCTCAGAGAAAACCAAGGAAGGATCTTGACAGGTAAAAATGGTGTTGTGATTCTTCAAAGGTGCCTAAGATCTTAGGGTCCTAGAACTCAAGTTTGAGTGAAACATTTTCAGGGATCTTTCTGAACTGTTTCCTGTTCTTGGGTTCCCAGGGAGTGAGCTCCAGGCTAATGTTAGCTTGGGTTGATGGCATTGTAGCACTAGTCCTGATCTAGGCTGAGGCCTCTGAAGCCTGCCTTTGCAACAGCATGGAGTCTTCAGTGAACGCTGTTAGAAATTACTTGCTGCTTCAAGGGGAGTGCATGGTAAAACACATCCACATAATGTGGTTTGAACAGAGTTTCTTCTCTATAACTCTACTTTTGTGTTCATGTATATATGTTAGGAGAGAAGGAACCAGGAGATAATTGGTCTACTTGATTATTAAACTACATGAGTGAGCATAATATTGTCAAAGACAAACAAGGTACAAAAACGTCTACTCTTCTTCCTTTATCTCTAGAGAAGTTCAGAGAACATGAACAGGGGTACGATTTTCCTTGACATGTTTGTCAAGGCATCAAGGAGCATGCAAGTAATGTCTCTCTGACAGTTCAGGTCTTGTGCCAGATTTAGAGGCAACAACCAAGCATTAGAATTGCTGGGATTCTTGACATATGAACTTGAGAGCACTAATGCCCACATTTGCACATGCAAAGTGGCATTTGGCTATAGGACTTTGATAAAGATGTGAGCAAATGGAGCAATATCTCACTATAGATATACCGTAAAAAAAGTTTTAACTGGGACTCCTACAGTGAATCTGGCTTCTTTTCATCATTGTATTCTATTCCAGATGATCAGCTGAACTCAGAGGAAAAAAAGAAGCGAAAGCAGCGAAGGAATAGGACAACCTTCAATAGCAGCCAGCTGCAGGCTTTGGAGCGTGTGTTTGAGCGGACACACTATCCTGATGCTTTTGTGCGAGAAGACCTTGCCCGCCGGGTGAACCTCACCGAGGCCAGAGTGCAGGTAACTGAAGCTGTGGGAAGCTGGCACCAAGTAGTCCCCTCCTCAGAGGCACATCTCTGAAGATTGTTTAAAGACACAAATTATAGCCCAGCGCAGTGATTCATGCCTGCAATCTCAGCACATTGGGAGGTTGACACAGGCACATTGCTTGAGCTCAGGGGTTTGAAACAAGCCTGGGCAGCATGGTGAGACCTCATCTTTACCAAAAATACAAAATAAATAAACAAATAGCCAGGCATGGTGGTGCGTGCCTGTGGTCCCAGTTTCTTGGAAGGCTGAGGTGGGAGAGTTGCTTGAGCCTGGGGGGTGGAGGTTGCAGTGAGCTGAGATTGTGCCACTGCACCCCAGCCTGGGTGACAGAGTGAGACTCTGTCTCAAAAATAAATAAATAAACAAATAATATACAAGTTAGAAGCTTCAGATGGGAGCTGGTACTCATAAGGGTTGCAAATGGTCAGCATAAGGATAGAATCCTGTTTCCAGCTGTTTTTCTTTGGGCAGCAAGTATTTTTTTTTTAAAATAAAATTGAATGTTTTCAGGTAGGGCAGAATAATCTTTGCTACAGGTTCCTCTCCCAGCACCCGTTTCTTTCAGACACGTCCAGATTTATGTGATATACATTGTCCATCTGAGCATTTTACTCTGCACCCTTAGATTTCACTTTGATCTTGAAGTGGTTAAAGAGATGAATTCTCTGTCCCCTACCTCAGCTCTCCTCCTCAGTCTTCAAGAAACTTGTTGTAAGTACACATGAATATGAGCACTGATGGAGTGGGAAATGAATACTTAGGAACTGAGTTAAGAGCACACTCAAGTGGATGATTTTATTTATCCTCAGGGTCTCTGTGAACTGAAAGAGGGTAAGAGCATGAAAGGCAGGAAAAAGAGAATAGCCATTCTTTCTAACATTAGTGCCATGACACATCAACTGCAAGCCAGACATCTAGAACATCATACAACCTGTGATTAACAGTCATAACAATAATGACAATATATAATAACTAACACTACTGGAGCCCTTATATGCCAAATAGTGTTCTTTACATAAGTAATGTATTTCATCCTCACACTAATTCAACGATGTGGATAGTATTCTTCATTTTGCAGATGAGAAAACTGAGGTGCAGAGAGGTTAAAGTATTTTGCACAGCATCACGTAGCTAGGAAGTGTCTGAAATAGGATTTGAATGCAGACATGCAGATCCAGAGTTCATGCTTTTAATTACCCCCACCGCCCCCCCCCCCAAAAAAAAACTGAATGAATAAAAGTCTCCTGGCTAAATGCCTTTTGGAGTAGTGCTTTGCTCTCTGCTGAAAGATCTTATTGTCTTCCATATTGCCAGTAGCAAGATGCTGTTTTGATAAGGTGGGTAGGTCCAATCTGTCTTGTCTTCCTTACGAAATTATTGTTTGTATATCTATGTTCTGTCTGAGAGTTAAGAATTTCTTTCTGCAAATGATAACCCTCTTGACAGGTCAGAACTTGAGCTAGACCCCAGGGTAGATTTCTACCCCATTGATTAGGGTCTGTGTCTATGGAGGAGACACAGTATACAGTGGGAGACCACTGTGGAGTTGATGCAGAGATCCTGGTACTCCCTTCAGTCTGAAGAGAAAGTGTGAAAGTTTCCCTATGGGGAAACAGGGACCTCACCAAGTAGTACGCCCCAAGAAAAAAACCGAAAATGTCAGTGACAAAAGAAGAAAGTTACGGGAGCCTGTGGGGTCCCTGAGGGTAGGTTAGGAGGAAGTGTGAGTGCAGGTGCCCCTTTGGGCTCAAGTAAGAGTGACCCATAGGGACAACACTCAGTTTTGCTCTCCCATTTGCCATCCAGGGCGATTATTAAATTTGTCTTCCCACACCCTCTTCCCCTACACTGCTCACCGCAAATCTCTAACTCTGCTCTTAAATCCTTTCCTCTCCCCTCAAAAACCCCATGTCTTTTATGCCACACCTCAGCTTAAAGTGGTGTAATGAATATTTTTAGTCCAGTAACCCACAGCACACGAATGTGCCACTTTTGCTATGGTGATTTAAATTTTAAATAAGGAAACCTGCTGAGGGCAATGGTGGACATTTCAAAAAAAAAAAAAATGAAAGACCAATTTTGGGGTTGGTGGACTGTCTTGCCCCTATCATGACAGGGAAATGTCTTTTTTATATGTTGGAACTATTTTTTTCTTTCTCTTTTCCCACCTTGCTGTGATTTAATGACTTTTAGAGCTGTGAACGTTTCCTAAACGAGTAGGACAGAGTTCTCCCTCCACGACTTTACTCTCCCCCCATGAAAGCCTACCTTTTCCCAGTCTGAACCAACCCCTTCTGATTCCGGGCTTCTTTATATTTATGGCATTTATCATAACATGAAATGTATTATATTGAGTTGTATCTGGGCCAACTTCTCCCACAGGACTGAGGAGGCCTCTTGGATGGAGGCCATGTTTTACTCATCTTTGCAAAATTTATTTTTTTCTTCTTTTTCCTCTTTTTTTCCTCATACACTTATCAAGCACATATTATGCTCTTGAACTCAGTTTTGGTTTGCTGGGGATGAATAAGACACCAACCCTCTCCTTAAGGATGTTTGCACTGGGGTGGAGAAGATAGATGTGCAAACCATACATTTATGATATCATAATATGATTCCTACATCAGTGGAATGTACAATAATTAGTGATAGAGCAGAGGAAGGAATGATCTAATTTGCCTGGGGGAAAAGGGAGATAATTTATATTTATTAGACACCAATTCTGGGCCAACTCTCAAAACTATCCTGTAAGTAGATATTATTATCTCCAATTGATTAGGAGAAAAAGGAGCAGAGAAATTAAACAACTCCCAGGACAAATCTTGAAAGTAGTGTAGCCAGTATGACTTTTAAGTTATGTTCAATGTTAAAGTTGAACTTTGAAAAAAATATGTAGGCTTTGATACCTGGACAAAGCAGGAAAGAATATGATAGGCAAAGGAAATATCTGGTGTGAATATTTTTAGGTGGGAAATAGTCTAACACATTAAGGAGTCCACAGGTAATTTTGAACACAGGGTAGGAGCTGGAGCCATAGAGGGCCAGTGTATGAGGTTAGAGTGATGTGGCTTGTGGCTGGATTGATGGACAAAGAGCTAATTCCTGAACAGCTTTAGTTCTACGGTTAAGAAGTTTTTATTTTATTCTGTGACTGATGGGGAGCCAGTAGATGATATAAAACAAGGCACTAATGTGATTATATTAACATTTAAGATGATAGCTCTATGAGCAATGTGAAGGCACAATAGAAACAGAAGAGCCAGGAGTCTGGGAAGCCAAGTCCAGATTCCACCTTGGCCAATTTCCACCCAGGCCCTTCATGCTGCGCAGCTCTACAGGGAACTGATCACATGTTATTTTATGTGTATGTTGTCCCCTCAAGCTGTACAACTGCTCACTCCACAAAAAGAATTTTCTTCTCCCATACCTTGTTATACATTTCTATAATTGCATTTAAAATACTTGTTTTGCAGTTTCTCAAATTTACATGCCTTCCTTTAATAGGTTGTGAGCTGCTTAAAAGCAGAGCATAAGTTTCTCATCTCTCTCTTTCCAGCATTTAGTACAGGGCCTGGACCATAGCAGGAGCTCCATAAAGATTTCTTGAATGAGTAAATGAATGAGTAGAATTCCATAGCACTCTAGAAGAGTCGTATGATCATGAATTGGATGTCCTTGAGTTCAGAAACTCAGCCATTTATTGTTTATGTGAATTTCAAGAGATTACAGTCATATAATGCTTAACAATGGGGAGTCTGTTCTGAGGACTGCATTTTTAGGTGATTTTGTCATTGTGCAAACATCATGGAGTCTACTTACACAAATCTAGATGGTATAACTGACTGCACACCTAGGCTATAGGGTATAGCTTGTTGCTCTTAGGTCACAAGCCTGTACAGCATATTACTCTACTGAATAGTGTAGGCAATTGTAATACCATGGGAAGTATTTGTGTATCTAAACATATCAAATTTAATTATAATATAATTAAGTTATAATTATTATAATTTAATGAGACCATCATCGTATACGAGGTCCATGATTGACTGAAACATTATTATGTGGTGCATGACTGTATTTAATCTCATTGAAATTGCTTTCTAACTGTAAAATAGAAATATTAAAACCTAATATGTGAAATTGTCATGTTGACTAGAAATAATGTATGTAGTGTGCTTATATAAGTTCCTAGTCCTAGTAACACTTAACAAACAATATTGTTTGCCCACTTTTTAATGGGATTGTTTGTTTTTTTCTTATAAATTTGTTTAAGCTCCTTGTAGATTCTGGATATTAGACCGTTGTCAGATGGATAGATTACAAAAATCTTCTCCCATTCTGTAGGTTGCCTGTTCACTCAGATGATAGTTTATTTTTCTGTGCAGAAGCTCTTTAATTAGATCCCATTTGTCAATTTTTGCTTTTGTTAAAATTGTTTTTGATGTTTTCATCATTAATTCTTTGCCTATGTCTATGTCCTGAATGATATTGCCTATATTTTCTTCTAGGGTTTTTATAGTTTGGGGTTTTATACTTAAGTTTTTAATCTATCTTGAGTTAATTTTTGTATATGGTATAATGAAGAGGTCCAGTTTCAATTTTCTGCATATGACTAGCCAGTTCTGCAAGCACCATTTATTAAATAAGGAATCCTTTCCTCATAGCTTGTTTTTTTCAGGTTTGTTGAATATCAGATGGTTGTAAATGTACAGTCTTTTCTGAGTTCTCTATTCTGTTCCATTGGTCTGTGTGTGTGCTTTTGTACTAATACCATGCTGTTTTGGTTACTGTAGCCTTGTAGTAGATTTTGAAGTCAGATAGTGTGATGCCTTCAGCTTTGTTTTTTTTGCTTAGGATTGTCTTGGCCATATGGGCTCTTTTTCATTCTATATAAAGTTTAAAGTAGTTTTTTCTAATTCTGTGAACAATGTGAATGGTAATTTAATGGAAGTAGCATTAGATCTATAAATTACTTTGGCCATATGGCCATTTTCATGATATTGATTTTTCCTATCCATGAACACGGAATTTTTTCCATTTGTTTGTGTCCTCTCTGATTTCCTTGAGCAATGGTTTTTAGTTCTCCTTGGAGAAGTGCTTTACTTTTCTTGTGAGCTATATTCTCAGATTTTTTATTCTCATTGTAGCAATTGTGAATGGGAGTTCATTCATGATATGACTCTCTGCTTTTCTGTTGTAGATGTACAGGAATACTTGTGATTTTTGCACACTGATTTTGCACCCTAAGACTTTGCTGAAGCTGCTTATCAGCTTAAGAAGTTTTTGGGGTGAGACGATAGGGTTTTCTAGATACAGGATCATATCATCTGCAAACAGAGACAGTTTGACTTATGTAGCAAACCTGCACATCCTGCACACGTATCCTAGAACTTGTAAAATAAAATAAAAATAAATAAAATTAAATGATAGGTTTATTATTAGCTGTAGCAAATGCTGTCTGTGCTGTCCATTTCCCTTGAACCCTACAATTAAGTGCAGTCTGGTCAGCTTCCAACTTTTAGTGCCTGCATTTCTGTGCCAGCAGTTTCTTTTAGAACTTCAGGAGACTGCCCTGCCTTCAGCATTCCAGAAGTGCTGGAACATTAATATCCAACGACTGACAGGATCCAGTGTACACACACCCAACTCCGTCAGCCCCAAGAGGGATAACTCTGAAGTGTGTGTCCTACATTAGTCTTAGTTTTCAGGATCTCTGTAGGATTGAGCTACCGCAGAGATAGCTGGTTTAGTAGCACACTCTTTAGTGGTTGCCTTTTCTTCTCTGTTACTTCCTTGCTCCCCAAATGGTGTTCCTTGCACCTCCCAAATAAAACACTTCCTTCTTAAATCTTTGTTGGAACATCTACTTTTGGGAGATGGGGAATTTTCTTAAAATATAATTGTTATGAAAGCAGATGACATTTTCACATTTTGAAGAATTTTGAGAAAGCTTTTAGAAAAGTCATTATTTCTGTGGCAGAAGCCTAATGAGAGTTTTCTTGATTACAATTGTAACAGGGATTATAACCCATATTTTGCTCTCCTGTCTGTAAGTCACAGATTTCATCTCCGGAGACCTGATTACTGGAGAATTTCATGGTCTTGTAATAGTCTGGACCTTTAAGAATGGCCCTCATGAGGGAAGGCGTATGGCATGTTTCTATTGTTCTAAGGAGAATTCCATAGCCATCTTATCCATGTAACCCCTTCTTCTTTGTTTTTCCTCTCTTTCCTTACGCCTTCTCGCCTCCTAACAATCCTCCAGGTGTGGTTTCAGAACCGAAGAGCCAAGTTCCGCAGGAATGAGAGAGCCATGCTAGCCAATAAAAATGCTTCCCTCCTCAAATCCTACTCAGGAGACGTGACTGCTGTGGAGCAGCCCATCGTACCTCGTCCTGCTCCGAGACCCACCGATTATCTCTCCTGGGGGACGGCGTCTCCGTACAGGTGAATGACTGGCCCACTCTCCCTTGCTCCACTTCCGCTTGTTTCTCAGCGGTCGGTCATGTTTCAAGCTGCTTGTGCAGCTCACCGACATTTCTTACTGGGTTAATCTCTTCAGAGACATTCAACTTGCTGACATCCCCACATTTTCCCAGGAGATTATTAGCTGCCCCAGGAGCAGGGTTTGGGGCAGAAGTAAGAGGGGCAGGCTATCTCAGCAATCTCCTCTTGGACTCAGGAACTCTTGCAAAGGTTTCAAAGATGAGGAAGAATTTAAAAGAAAAGATCATTAAGCTGTGCCCAGTGTCCCTCTTGCAACAATTCTGCAACAACACTTTACCCTGTTTCCAAATTTAAGATAAATTCGTTGTATTATGCAAATGTAGGGACTTAACTTATAAAGCTCCAAGTATAGGGCCAAAGGCAAACTTTGCAGTAAAACTGACTTTGAATTTAAAAAAAGAAGAAGGAAGGAAGGAAGGAAGAAAGGAAAGAAGGAAGGAAGGAGAGAGACAGAGAGGGACTATGACAGAGAGAGAAGGAAGGAAAACCCAAGTTCATTCTGATCACTTTCATGGCCAAGGTTCTTTGTTATTAGGTGTGAATTTCTTATAATGCCAAATGCCTTCCTAGTCTATTGCTAATTCTTGTCTACTTGTCTGAAGGTTTCTCTGGGGATCAGTTTGTGTGTATTTGTGTGTGTGTGTGTGTCTGTGTGTGTCTGCATGTGTTTGTGTGTGTGTTTCTTTTAAATAAAAAAGGAATGTATAATTTAGACTAAACTTTTATATTAAAAAGTTGAACATTTTTAAAGAAACAAATAACAGAGTACTATTTCAATCTCATAAAGAGGTTTTTAACCTCCAATTATTATGCTGTTCAGAAAATACAGGCTGCCAGAAGGGAAGCTGAGACACAAGTGCCTAACCCATTGGATTAGTCTAGAGTGCCTTTCTTTGAAAGTAGACCTGAGTACTCTGAGAAACCAGGCCAAGCCTATGTGTTCTCCCTGGCTGATTTCAGTGGAGGCAGAACTATTCACAAATTCATTTATTATGCTTTTGTTTACCTTTTTATTGTCAAGGTTAATTATTGGTTTAAGGAGAGGTTTTAAATGAAATATAGGAGATTATGTCTCAGATGAAGTTGAATTCCTGACATGAAATGCTACATTTTTGAAATGCAAGTGTTTTTCAAAGGTTCATAGCTTTAATCAAAGCAAAAAGCCTCATCTAAAAGTTTCTTTCTGTTCCAAATCAGTTCCTTTAGAGAAACACGGTAAATGCATTTGGAAATTTCTTTTAATCCCCTGTTATAAAATTAACCTGAATTCTTTCGGTCTTAGCGCATAGAGACCCTCCGTCTAGGAAAGTCTTATTCTGGGCCCTGTTGCACTCAGATGTGGTGTGCCTTGCTGATCTTGAAACATTAGTTATATCTGTGTGCCCTATTTTAAATTTAAACTCTTCTCCTATAAGATTTACTAAAAATACAGTTTTTGAAGACCATCGTAAAATCACATATTCTCTAATATTTTAAATAAATGAAAGTCTGCTTTATTTCTCTTATAAATATTGGTATAAGAGAAATTTAGTGTGTTCACGAACATGCTAAATGACTTGGAAAATGGGTGTGGTTCAAAGCCTGATGCTTCAAGATCTCTGGTTTGAATATGGTCACAACCAGGAAGTATTGTTCCTTTTTCTGTCTGGGTCCTCCATAGGAATTTTTCACACCAGCAATAAACAATCCAGATGGCTCCCACATGGTCCTTACCAGTGAGAGGCTTCACACAGCACACTGCATGAATGGGGATGAAATCCTTCCTGAATTAATATAGGGTTATATTACTTGGACCTCAGCCCTTTGAGCCTCAGTGTCTGCATCATACGTGTTTAGTATATGGACATCTAACTGAAATTATTAACATGGCAATTTATGCGTGCCTGTTTTGGAAATATTCTATTTTAATGGAAAGAATTATGTAGAAATACTGGATACATTTTTAAAAACATTCATAATTCACCATCTTGACATAACTAGTATGTTCATTTTTGTGATTAGAGTTCAATATTTTATATAGGTGTAGCCTTAGTGTATATATTATTTTGTATTCTCCTCTTTTCACTTAAAATCATATAACCTAGTACATTTTACTCATTTCATGGTATGCTTTTATATCATTTCTCTCTTAGAAATTGAATTTGTAAAAATTAATTAAAAAATCATAAAATGTTCATATTCTGTATGAAGAATAAATTATTCTTCAAATATAAGTAGAAAAGTGATGTTAAAACAGTAATCTAATCAATAATAATGTTTTTGATCCAATGTTGACTGAAGTGTTTATATTTTGGTTAATTTCTAAAAGTAGCAAAAAGCTATTCTGTTATTTGGAGAAGTTTCTGCTATGTTTAGAACCAAACTATGTTATGATTTCACACTTTGAAGCTTGATAGGAAATATTGTTAAGGAAATAAAAAAGAAAAACAAGTGATCCAAAGCAAAGGAAATGATAGACCTTTTGTGTTATGAAAAATTAACTCACTGTTCTTGTTGATACTATTATGTCAAGTTAGTTATCTCACATGTGACACTCATTAAAAGGCATTTCTCTTGGTTAATTCTTGGAACACTCCTGTGTGATAGCTCTGTCTTGCTCTGCTTCCAAAGAAGAGACTAAACACTTGCCCAAATTTAAGTCTTCAGCAAGCAGAACTAGAACTAATGCTTGTGATCCCTGTTTTTATCCAACATGTTAAGCCACACGACTGTACTCTCATTCAAATTAAACCTTGCATTGTATCGAAAGTAGTAAAAAAGTATAAGATTGGAAAACTATCTAAAATCCCCTTTTTATTCAAGAGCTATCTCAGATCAGTGAGGCATGCCTGCAGCTGAGGTCCACACTCCGTGGGGTGTGGGCATCCCAATGGACTGATAGATGTGGCTTGGCCATACAAGCCAGAGACAGTGAGCAGACAGTTTTACCAGAAAGGATAGTTTGTTGACTTCCACAGTTATCCCCTGAAAAAAGAAAGGAGAAAACTAAGGCATAAAAGCAGTTATTTGCATATGGTCAGAATTTTGGGTTGGAAAATAGCCAACATATTTTTTTCTGGGTGTCTTTTACATCCAGAGTGATAGAAGTGTAATTTATTGTTCAAACTGGGGCATTTTCTAGAGTGAAAGGGGAACACTATTAATAATTATACTAGGACAACAGGTATAAGCCAGGATTGTCCCTAGGACATATAGTTTGCTCTAATTATAGCACGTCATGACCTCACTCATTCCCTTGATTGAGCATGTTAGAGGTGATGACATTAGGCAGGCAACTGAGTCACCAGAGGGACAAAGCATTCCCTAACACGGACACTGTTGTCCTGGCAGGTGTCTTCTTTATCCATCCGTGGCCAGTTAAAGGAAGCTTGTTTTTGGCACACACACCCATTGCTTAACTCAGAGCTATTTTTCTTAGGCAACTTGTAAGAATGAAAGCACACACAAGCACCAGAATTATTCAGACTCACTAATCTTGCAGTGCTTTGCTTCTTGGGTAGCAGTGACCAACCAAGTCCTGAACTTTTGACTGTTATTTGAAATGAAGTAGCCAAGAAACATTTTCCCAGAGATATCCTTTCCTAGGTGAAGTGGGTAGTGAATGGCCTGGTTCTGCATTATTGACCTGAAGTGCCGTTTCCAGAGGGAAGCCTGGGCTTAAAAGAAAGCTAGTGATCAGTGAAAGAGAGGCCAGCTATCCTCGTCCACAGCTTCCCTCCCCATCCTTCTCCTCCCCTCATTTGATCATGGTCATGGTGCTGCCTGACATCTGCTGAACGCATTTGGCTTATTTCTCCCTTTCACACTTTCAAAAATAGATCCTCGTCCCTCCCAAGATGTTGTTTACACGAGGGGCTTCATAACGGATTCTAACGGAAGACACTGAAAAGGTAACTTGTCAGAGGGGGAAGAGGGCGGCTGCTTGGGGTAGGGTTTAAGTGGGAATTCAGAGTGTTTAAGAAAGTGGGGGTGCAGTTCTAGAAATTTCAGCAGTGAAGTCCTCAAGTGAGGAATACTATTGGGAACCAGAGCTGTAAGAAAGCATGTCCACGAAATGAATAGTAGGGTGATACTAGTCTAGAGCAGGGCTCTTCAGAGATTGCTGTGCACAGGAAACATCTGGGATCACGTGACTGTGCAAACTCTGATTCACGAAGTCCAGGGTGGAGCTTGGATTCTGTATCTCTAACTCGCTTCTAGGTGATGCTGATGCTGCTGACACTTGGTGCACACTTTGAATAGTGAGACTTTGTAAGTTACAGGACAGGGTTCGGAAGAATTACTTTCTTGTCCTGGCTTCTGCTGCTCCTCAGGCCAGTCAGATCATTGCTCTCTTATGTACCTTTGTATCTAACATGAAGCTAGCAATAGTTTCCCTATTGCTTATTTCACAGGGGTGTCTGGAACCTACTGATAAGCAATGTGCACTTCAAAAAAAGTCTTGCAACAATAGAAAGATATAAGAGGCTTTATATATAAAAGTATTTCTAAAATGAAAAGTTAAAAATAGCAGAAAGATCACTGAATATATAGTACAAACTGAAAGCTTACCAATGAAATGTACAAGTGTGTTCACTTTAAAAGATAAATATACATCTTAGAAAATCAACTTCTGAATTTCAAAACCTAAGTTAAAAACAGAAGTTAGTTATTTAAATCACAAAAGATCCCTTTCCAAAGAATGTACCGGATCTCTTTTTAAAAGTAGATTTCCCTAGGAAAACTGGTATTACATTTTATCAGGTGAGCTAAGTATGCCTCTGTTGTACTTGCACTGACAAAAGAACAAACCAGAGACTTTCTGCAACTTCTCTGCATCACAATCTTGAACACCATAACCCCTACAGTCTTTGAAAAAATCCTGAGCTGGTGAAACCCAAGATTTCAGGAAAACTCATAGACTTCTTGGCTGACAGATTTGTCTTTAGGGTGAAATTGTAAACGTCATCATTTGTTCAAAGGGCCACATAGAAAACAAAGAGTTGAAAACAGAGTCAGGTATTATTTTTTTCCCAAGCTAGCAATTGTTTTGTGATTTGTGGGACTCAACACTATAGGTTTTTAGAAAGCAGAGGGGCAGTTGTCCGTAAGTATCCTGGCTTTAAAATCGTACTACGAATAGTATTTTCTGGCAGTCATTTTAACATTTTTCTTTTTTCCTCACAACTTTCAGGGTAGGTTGAAGTGATAAAAAATGATTTGTCCCCAGTGAAAACAGTCCTCCAACCCTGCATTGATTAGCATTCTGCTATCTATGGCTGTGCTGCATCTGTTAGGAATCTCCAAATAAGGAAATGCAAACATTTGAAGCTGATTTAAATGTGTCAACTCCGTGTAAGTCTCAGTGCAGACTAGCTAAATCAACAGATGTGGTGCAAGCATTTATTATTAATCTCTAATTCCTCAGTGCACTTTATTCAGTAGTGTGGTTTCCTGGTCACTGACACAAAGAACTTAACTATAACTAACTAAAAATGGGGCTTTAGCCAAAACCTAAAAACTCAGTCCCAGAACTTATGTCTGTACCCTGCTTCCAAGAATAAATGGATTTTGCTTAGAAGGCAAGACCAACAGGCAGGATCTCTGGTTGTTGTTAAGCAGGCTTTTGGTTGTTGTCATGTGCTTAATCTGTACAAATCACTTAGTTTCAATCTCACCATTTGATCCGAGCAAGCTTAATCCTGTATAGAAAGGACTGGTCATTTTACATGCTCTGAATGGCTCTATAAATTGGTTGAAAACAGTTAATTACCCTCATTGGACTTTTAAGAAAACACTTTAGGGTTCTCTTTCTTTTCCTAAAGCAGAACTTCAGAAGTTTCCATGACATGGAAAGCAGATGGTCACAAACAATTTCATATTGGCAGCCACTCAAGACTGTCTTGCATCTGTTGACACTTTAGGAGGCAGGTCCTCTCCATCTTACTTCTAATGCCATTTTTGAAGAATGACTAAGCTACTCTCAGAGGACTCACTCACTAATTCTGTCTTTTCTGACTTGTAATAAGTTTTGCTTTTCATGGGTAAATCCAAGGACTGCTCACTGCTTGCTATATTGCACCCTTAGCTTAAATTGAGAAGCTAGATCCATGTCAAATTACTGGAAAACAGACTTGCAATTATTTAGTATGTTTGCAAAATATTATTGGAATCCATATTTGTAGGATTACATATTCTAAAAATTTTTAAGAGGCTGTGAATTAAGATGGCTTTGGTTCTTTTATCCTACTTCTTATGGCTATGGAATGCTTGAACAAGTTAAATCAATTTTGAAAGTTTATACATTTCCTACGCATTTATCAAGTGAAAATGTTATCACCTATCAAGCTCCTAGGGAGCTGCAAAATTCATTCATTAAAAACAACTGCTTTTTAATCCTCATGCTCCACTAATTTGAGGGATACCTATAAGACATTGTCACAGACTTGCCTCTGCTGGTGTTCTTTTACAACGTCACTGTATAATCAGACAAGGGCACTGTTCTTTACTGTGGAAAAGCAGGCTGCAATTTATGTGAGAAATGTCCCAGTAAATACCCAGTCTCCTGTGCAATAGATGATCTGAATCCCATTAATTTGTTTTTGAGATAGAAAGTGCATTAACATTCATCTCATTTGGGATATCACAGTCTTGCCTACATTTGAGAGAGAAACTCAATATTTCCAAGAAATGTGTGACCCTACTAAGTCCTCAGACTAGAATATCAGGTGGTAAAGCTAGTTGACTATGAAATCACTAAAATAAAAATGGTTACGCAATAGACAACTCGTAATCATTATTATAGGAGACATTTCTGGGAAATAGCAATAGCATCTTCAGTAAACTAAAATAATCTCCCCAAGGTTCTAATCTTCCTTTTTGGCTAAAGAGATGGAACACAACTTTGATATCTAAGAAAGGGCAAATTTCTGTTAAATAGGACTTTGCTTGTTCAGAATCTCAAAAAACACATCTCTCAGAAAATTAGACCAAGTACTTAAAGCACAATATTCTATGACAATCTACAATTTAGCATCAGAAAATTTTTCTTTATCCTCTCTCGTGAAGTTTTAGCTTTCTGTTTTCAGAAGCCATCAAAATTTCTTCTCAATACTTAGCAAATAATACAGGCAACTCCTAATTCCAGGTTCTCTTCTATGTGTTTAAAATTATACTAACTGTGCATCATCTTTAGGGCTTAATTCTGTCACAGAAACCTGATTATGAAAGGTTGACTTGGTTGATTTTATAATAATCTATGACTTAGGTACATTTCCCAAATTCAATAGTCTTTTTTTTTTTCTCAGATGCTTAGATCTTCGGATTCTTGGCATATCCTAGAAATTTTTTGAATATAGGTTTTGTGGGTTTACATACATTTATGGTAAGGTCTTGAGTGGAACCGTGAACTAAATGATAATACGTATATGAGTTTTGAAAATAAGTGACATTTCTTGGTATATTCTAAAAAAAACTTGTCCCACTTTAGTGTATTGTTCCGGTCATTTATCTCACTTCTAATTTAAACCTACCTTAACTGGGAACTCTTCTGCTTCTATCCCTTGATAGGTAGTGGTAGAAGTGATAGTCTAACTATACTAATAACTTGTTCAGTTTTTATTGTGAAAGATATTTTTTGATGGGTCCAAGTATACACAGTCATCAGCTTCTACTTTTGTCATTACCTACTGACTTTGCTCTTTCTATTAAGATAGTAAAATTGGCAGTAAGGACCAGTTCCTGTGAATAAAAGCATATTGGTAAGATATATTTTGTTTTTAGAAATCATTGCTCACAGCAGAATGACAGGAACCAATGACATCGAGCAGGAATCAATTTAATTATATACTATATCTAGATATTTCTTAGTTATCTGTTTATTCATTGAACACATAGTACTAGATATGGTGTCATTTCTACCTGAGAAAACTGTGAACAAGGCAGATGTGATGTCTAATCTATGGAGCTTATAGTTGAAACAGTGATAGATACTAAACAAATTATTAACTAAACTTGAATCGAGTGCTAAAAGCAAGAGTTTAGTGTGCTATAATAGAACATAGCTTTGTCTAGCTGTGTGCGCACACACACACACAGAGTCACCCATACATTTAACCAGGGCTATAAAGATTTTAAATTAAAGATGTATATTTCTGGAAATACCTAGTGATCTGGGACTCATTATATTTCTTAATTTTTTTGAGTTAATTATTAGTAACTGAGCTGAAATAGGTTATTATGAGTTTTGACTCTGTGTGTCCCAAATAAGAATCAATGACTTACGTTCTATTTGTGGAGTAGCTTTACTTTTCTCTCTTTCTGATCTTGTCACTTGATCCCCAGAACCACAAACTTTTATGTGGCTGACAAAATTCCATTGGAATGTAGGCAACAGAAGAGCACATGTCATTCCATTTATAAGTCTATCTCATTCCAGCCCTGAGTTGAAAGATTTTGCTAATCTTAGAAGCAACTAAAAACATTTTTATTTAATTAAAATGCATATCCTTTTAACTATTTAGTAGAAAGAGTAATTTACTATTAAGTCTATGAAACCATTTCTTTTTCCTTTAATAGAGATTCATGGATGCAATTAACAGAAACCCACCTACGATAAATTTCTGCCTACCAGTGTTCTTAGGTCCTCATTGTAATCTCTGACAACGAAAAACAACTTCAGATTTTTCTCAGCAATAAAGACAGTGAGAAACAGTTACCTCTGAAGTCAAGAATGCTGAAAATGGAGACTTTGATAGTTTATCTAGTAGATTTAAACATTTTCAAAATAACTGACCCAAAAGGCAGTGTGTGCTATTCAAGTTCTTTTGAGGAGTTTTTAAAATCAAGGCCAGTGGGTTAGTAAACTCTTGATTCAGCAATGCTTGGTACTATCAACCAGTAAATTAAGAATGGCAGAGAACTTATGTCGGGATGTTTAACTGGTTCTCCAGGCACATTATTTATTATGGTATTTATTATCTAAAATGTGTTGGAATTAAGGTCAGTTATCTAGAGTGAAGGAGCAAAATTCCCTTTAGTTTATTTTCAAAAGCTTGTTTCTATTCCTCACTGCTCCCACAGGCTGGGGAGGTAGGCAGGACGAGAGATTAAATACTGTTCTAATTAGTCAGCTGATGAAACACCTGCTATTCAACTTGAGCAACTTTCTTCTCCTACCCCAGAAATAAATCATTACTCACTGTATCCACCACAACAAATGCCTCTCCCTCCCTTTCCTCACTCTATACCACTCTCTCCTGCTCTTCAAAACATGACCACTCTTCTGTAAGTACCTTAGACGGATGGAAAGCTGGGGCTGTAAGGGACCCTAGAGGTCATCTAGTCCAAGCCAGTGCCCCTGCCTGCCCCCATGCTGAGAGTACCTCCATCTGCGGCACGGACTTGCAGCTTTGTGAAACTAACGCCTGTTATTCTCCCTGCTCTCTCCTTTGTCCCTACAGCGCCATGGCTACTTATTCTGCCACATGTGCCAACAATAGCCCTGCACAGGGCATCAACATGGCCAACAGCATTGCCAACCTGAGACTGAAGGCCAAGGAATATAGTTTACAGAGGAACCAGGTGCCAACAGTCAACTGAGGAAAAAAATTATTAAACAGGCCTAAGAAGAAATCAAAAACCATAAGACACCTATCCCGCTCTGTTATTTCTTCATCTGCTGGGGGAGAAAAGTAAATTACAAACAAACAAACAAAAACCAGAACTAAAATATTGGGACCATGGCAGAGAAAAGCAGGAGAGGAGCAAAATGAAAATTAGTTAACAAATGTTCCTCCTCCCTCTGGGATACCACCACCACTTGTTTCTGTGTGTGTTTATTTTGTTTTTCTTTCTATTCATGCTTTGCTTAATATACTCCAAGCTTCTTCAGCTAGGTTCAGCCCACCCAACCCCATGATTGTATGAAGTTTTTTAAAAAACTACAGCAGCCAAAGAAACCATATATACATCCAGAATGATTGCCTCTACTGTCCTCATTGACTTGTTTGAACCTCAGTGCCTTACCCTGTCCTCTTCCCAGTTCTCTTGATAGAAGCTCTAGGAGCTTTTGAAAAGCCAAAGTCTTTCTGAAGAATCTGTGCCAGACAGACATAATTCCCTTTCTCGTTGTCTCCATCTTTGTTGGTCATGGTAAGGTTTTTCCATCAGCCTCTGAAAAAACAGTTGTGCACATCTGGTCACTGGACTGTCAGATCCAATGTAATTGGCTGTGTCTGGCTAATTCTAAGCGCTAAGGTGTACATCTAAGCTATAGATTTAAGCTTGAAGCTATAGATTATATCACTATCACCACCACCCCTCACCATATGCAATCAATCAATCAATCAATCAATCAATCATCTTAAAGATATTTGTTGTCTTTGAATGATTTGCTGTCACAGACTATTTGGTAGAAGAAATATTTTTCACCTGAGAGAGGAAGAGAAATTTCTCTAGTAACACTAAGAGTGAGTCGTAAAAGGCATGCCCACATCTCTTTCGTGCCTTAAGGATAGTGAGATGCACAGTTATATATATACTGTATATATTTATATATTTATATATATATTTCATATATATATATATAATATTGCAAGCTTCAGTTTGCAATTTCCCAAACAGTACAAAAAGCAAATTATACACCATCACCACTGTTCTTATCTCTATAGTGATGAGACATTAATTAGGGATCTTGCTGCTTTTCTTTTTCTACACAAAATTTTCATTAAAGCCACAGAATAACTGATAGAGCAGCTGTTTTAGAACAGGTCTCATTTTCACATTAGGCCTTTAAATGGATTAGAAACTATTTGAGGCTATAAAAATGTCCTTGAGTTTGGAGCCTGAGCTCTGGTGAAATGCTGATACATCTGATCTATCATGGGAATTGCAGTTAGAGAGAGGAGGGAAAACCATTTAGTCATCTACCCTTTCTTCACTCAGCAGGAATATGAAAGACACATGTTCAAGAGGAATACCTAAAGGTTTTTCTAAATTCCAACATTTAAAAGGCAATTGTGGGCTATTTTTATTTTTTAATATTTTGAAATAAAGTTTAGTGTCTAGGGCTGGGAGCCAGGACTGATCTTTCATTTCTTTTTCTTTGTTCCCAGCCATGCTTTTGTAACTTGCCAGGTGGACTTGATCAACTACATTACCATGCTGTGCCTCAGTTTACCCATTTGTAAAATGGGATTAACAATACTTACCTACCTCACAGGGGTGTTGTGAGGCTCTATTCATTTGCTCCTTTATTCTTTCCTGTATTCTCTGTATGTCCAGCACTTTGTAGCCATGGGAGGAAAGGGACTATAAAAGTGTACAGTGTTAATGGAATGATACGGTACCTGAAAGCCTTGTTTTCTAGTAAGAAAATGCTACCTTGCTGTACATACTTATAACCTTGTATTTGGAAATGAGAAATAGGTTTATATTTTCAGATCTCTCAAAAATCACATCATTTGACCAAAGAATAATTTAAGACACATAGAACAGAATTTTTTTTTAATTTATATTTTCATCCTGACCAGCTTAGTTCTAATAATTTCTAGTTGTGAGTGATTAAAAAACTTTGAATCAATTTTGGTCAAATATGGCAACTTTGTAGTCTGAGTGACAGGCAAGGATTTTTGGGTTTAAGATGCACTTTTAGCACACATTTGTATTTCCCTTGGCATATCAGATTGAGCTAATGGTGATGTTATTTCAATCTAACAGCCACCAATCTGAAATTGTATTTCAAATGTTGATTCTGTAGTTCTTTAAATAATAATGAAGCTCATCTTATACATTTTGCTTTCACCAATTGATTCCTTCTTCTTTTAACTCACTATTAAAATATTTCTTACTGAATGGTTCATGTAGGCTTGCTGAACAGCATGCATTACTTGCTTCCTGAAGAGCTCCTCCATTCATCCTTTTGTCCCACTAGTTGCTGTGGATTTTCAAGTTTTGAAGGAACAGTACATACCAACAGACTGACACATTCTAAGTGAAATGAGTATAATCCAAGAAATTGATGAACTTTGGAGGTTTGGAGTTTGGAGAGAATGGCTGAGAAGATTTGAATTATAGGGAGGGAACAGAAATCATACATGAAAAGGTTTTATTGAGAAGGGAAAAACCTTAGATAGAGGGACATGTGAAACAAAATCATTTGAAATTTTGATTCAGACATCCATTTCCAGTGGCAAACAGCAAAGCCGGAACCCACAAACCCAAATGATCGGTGAAATTGGGTGGTTTTATCCAATGTCTCAGGCAAGCAATGTCTGGGAATATCTTAGAGTAACTGGTGCTGGTCAGCCAAAGAAACATTCACTGCCAGTGAACCAACACCATAAGCATGTATTATCTAAGCACTTGATCAAGAAGTACACATGTTGTACAAGCTCTCAATTTTGTTCATTTACTATCAATTTTTTAAAATACAAGTTTGGTATGTGATTTGGAAAAGAAACCTTCTGGATCTTAAGCCAGTTGTCAGTTGAGGGCCTCAGGGCCACAAACGTCAAGACATATCTCTGTTCTTCACCATCGTGATACTCCTGATACCAGATACAGGTGAATACATAGGAACTATCTGCTTGTGTCCTCAATCTCCCTCCAAACAAGATGCTGATTTGTAGGGTACTTGGCAGGTTAAATTAAACCAGAAGAGGTGACTTAATAAAAAAGGGAATGACATTTAGGGTATAAAGATCTCATAAGAAATGTAATATGTAAATTATATCTTGCTTTATGTTGTAAAATATACATTGTTTGCGCTAGAATAGAAATGATTTCTTTTCAATAAAAAGAAAGGACACTACCATGTCTTTTGCTATATACACTTGAGCCTGCTGATTCTCTTCTCTTTGAACTTCGAAAACACAGATCTGCTAGAATCTGAGATTACATGCAGAAGAGTGAAGGTAAGAAGGGCTCATAGACAAGAGAACTATATCCGAGTGTGATATTATTTTCTATAAAACAGGAAAATAATCTATTTTTCCTCAGAAACAAAGACAACAGTAGGAAGAAGAGGGGACACAACTATTATAATAGATGAGAATAGAGTGGAACTTTTATGAGAGTTTAGCATTATTAAAATCAGTACCTTTAACATTCACAATACTGTCCAGCAAGGATCTGTACAGGTGAGAAACAGGTGATGGCTTTTCAAATGAGGGTGTGGAGAAGTAGGAGTGAAGGCAGGGATATAGGAATGAGGAATTTGTGTTCAAAGATATATGGCAAGATGGGCCTGGATGAGATGGAGAGTTAATTTTAAAGCTGAATGGAAGATACTAGAGATGTAAGTTGAGGCTTAATCTTGCAGGGTACTACATGTCAAATATGTTTGGACTTTTCCTCAGGCCACAGAGATCCACTGAAGGCTTTTCAGCATTAAAAAAAGCGATGTGAAAAAATGCTACTTTAGCAGGATCAAAAGAATGAAGGTAAACTAGAACAGAACAGGAACTGGAAGCAGATCAGATAGAAGTTGCTGTGAGAGGAACAAAAAAGAAAGGACGATTAGAAAACATCTTGCAAGGAAAGAATCACTGGGACTTTATAGCAAGAAAAAGAGAATGGAGTCAAAGGTAATATTGGTTTAAAACCTGGGGACTGGGAAAATGAATCACTGACAAAACTGACAAAATCTACCCAAAATGGGAAAGACTCAGCTACAGAAGATAAACACAGTTTTTGTTGTATTATTGAAGCTGAAAATTCAAAGGTAAGCATCCAGTAAGTGAAGACATAAAAATGGGACTTGGTACCAAAGTCAAAGATGGAGATATAAGTTTGAAATTAATATTTAAGGAGGTGATACTTAGAGGTACAATAACAAATGGGTTCATTGAAATGAGAGAGTGCCATTATGACTCAAATAATTATTCCCAGTAAATGACTTTTGAAAGTAGTTTTAGCCAGGGAGGAAGATTATACTTTGAAGAACATCTCTAGCTGGAGAAATGGCTAATAAAGTCTATTTAAAAGAAGCTGTTTGAAAAATAGGAGGAGATTTAATCTTCTTTATTATTCCAGAGTTAAGAGAGGTTTTCAATAAGAGGGGAATGTTTGATATATTCAAATGCTATAGAGAAGGCCAGCTAATTGGGAATGGAGGAAAAGCCATTGGATTCATGACTTTTGAAAGTACAGTTTACCTGAGTGCTGGAGGAGGAAGGTTGATTTAGCAAGTTATGGTAGGAATAAATGCTTTTAAAAAATGGAACCACTTGCATGGCATTATAAGCGTATTAATAAGGATTCTTTCATTTGCAGGCAGCAGAAACATCAAACTAGTCAAATTTATAAAGAGGCTTTATTTGAAGGACAGCTCATGCAGCCGAGACATGCTGCCAGAGCTGGGACAGCCCCAGGGATCCTAGACCCTGGAACAAAACCTGTACCTGTTTTCGTCAAGTTGGGCTGCTCTAACAAGATACCATAGTCTGGTAGCTTTAAAAACACACAGTTATTTCTCACAGTTCTGGAGGCTGGGAAATCCAAGATCAGGATGCTGGCAGATTCCGTATCTGGTGAGAGCCCTCTTCCTGAGACAGCCATCTTCTTGTGGCTTTACATGACAAAAAGAGTGAGCTCTAGTTTCTTTCTCTTGTAACGATGCCAATTCCACAATGGTGGCTCCACTCTCATGACCTCAGCTAAAGCTAATTACCCCCAAAGACACTACCTACTAGCAATATCCGATTGGGGGTTAAAGTTCCAACATATGAATTTAGAGGGTACACAAACATGCAGTCCTTTTAAAGTAAGAATGTTAGTCTGTTCTCACACTGCTAGTAAAGATATACCTGAGACTGGGTAATTTATGAAGGAGAGAAGTTTAGTGGCCTCACAGTTCCACAGGGTGGGGGAGGCCTCACAATCATGGCAGAAGTCAAAGGAAGAGCAAAGGGTTATGTTACATGGCGTCAGGCAAAAGAGCTTGTGCAGGGGCGCTCCCATTTATAAAACCATCAGATCTCGTGAGACTTATTTACTACCATGAGAATAGTATGGAGGAGACTGCACACATTATTCAGTTATCTCCACCTGGTCCTGGCCTCGGCAAGTGGGGATTATTACAATTTGAGGTGAGACTTGTGTGAGGACATAGCCAAACCATGTCATTCCACCCCTGGTCCCCTCTAAATCTCATGTCCTCACATTTCAAAACCAGTCCTGCCTTCCCAACAGTCCCCCAAAGTCTTAACTCCTTTCAGCATTAACTCAAAAGTTCAAGTCCAAAATCTCATCTTAGACAAGGCAAGTCCCTTCCACCTATGAGCCTGTAAAATCAAAAGGAAGTTAGTAACTTTATAGATACAATGGGGGTACAGGCATTGGGTAAATACACCTGTTCCAAAAGGGAGAAATTGGCCATAATGAAGGGGCTACAGATGCCATGTGAGTCCGCAATCCAGCAGCACAGTTAAATCTTAAAGCTTCAAAATGACCTCCTTTTATTCCATGTCTCACATCCAGGGTATGCTGATGGAAGAGGTGGGCTCCCATGACCTTGGTCAGCTCCAGCCCTGTGGCTTTTCAGGCTACAGTGCCCCTCCTGGTTGCTTTTTCACAGGCTGTTCTTGAGTGTCTGTGGCTTTTCCAAGAGCACAGTGCAAGCTGTCAGTGGATCTACCATTCTGGGGTCTGGAGGATTGTGGTGCTCTTCTTACAGTTCCACTAGGCAGTGCCCCACTCTGTGTGAGGGCTCTCACCCCACATTTCCCTTCTGCACTGCCCTAGCAGAGGTTCTCCATGAGGGCTCTGCCCTTGCAGCTCACCTCTGTCTGGACATCCAGGCATTTCCATACATCCTCTGAAATCTACGTGGAGGTTCTCAAACCTCAGTTCTTGACTTCTGTGCATCTGCAGGCTCACCACCACATGGAAGCTGCCAAGCCTTGGGGTTTGCACCCCTGAAATCACAGCCCAAGCTGTATCTTGGTCTCTTTTAGCCATGGCTGGAGTAGCTGGGATGCAGGTCACCAAGTCCCTAGGCTGTACACAGCAAAGGGGCCCTGGGCCCAGCCCATAATACTGTTTTTTCCTTCTAGGCCTCCAGGCCTGTGATGGGCAGGGCTGCTGTGAAGGTCTCTGACATACCCTGGAGATGTTTTCTCCATTGTCTTTGTGATTAACATTTGTCTCCTTGTTATTTATGCAAATTGCTACAGCCAGCTTGAATTTCTCCTTAGAAAATGGGGTTTTCTTTTCTATTGCATCATTAGCCTGCAAATTTTTCAAACTTTTATACTCTGCTTCCTCTTGAACACTTTGCTGCTTAGAAAATTTCTTTTGCCAGATGCCCTAAATCATTTCTTTCAAGTTCAAATTTCCAAAAATCTCTAGAGCAGGGGCAAAATGCCACCAGTCTCTTTGCTAAAACATAGCAAGAGTCACCTTTGCTCCAGTTCCCAACAAGTTCCTCATCTCCATCTGAGACCATCTCAGCCTGGACTACATTGTCCACATCATTCACTATCAGCATTTTGATCAAAGCCATCCAACAAGTCTCTAGGGAGTTGCAAACTTTCCCACATCTTCCTGTCTTCTTCTGAGCCCTCCAAACTGTTCTAACCACTGTCTGTTACCTAGTTCCAAAGTTGCTTTCACATTTTTGGGTATCTTTACAGCAACAGCTCACTCTACTGGTACCAATTTACTGCATTAGTCTCTTCTCACATTGCTAATAAAGACATACCCAAGACTGGGTAATTTATAAAGGAAAGAGGCTTAGTGGGGCTCACAATTCTACATGGCTGGAGAGGCCTCACAATCATGGTGGAAGGCGAAGAAAGAGCAAAGGTATGTCTTACATGGTGGCAGGCAAAAGAGCTTGTGAAGGGGAACTCCTGTTCTTAAAACCATCAGATCTCATGAGACTTATTCACTACCACGAGAGCAGTATGGTGGAAACCACCTACATAATTCAATTATCTCCATTTGGTCCCATTTGGGATTCAATTATCTCCATTTGGTTGGTGAGGACACAACCAAATCATAGCAGTAAGTCCTTACCCTTCTATCAGGCAAGGCCCATATGCCATGCCCTGAGCCTCACCTATATTCCTCTGACTGTGTGCCTCTCCTGAGAAAAGAGTTTATGGAGCCACCTGCATGTGCCCACCTGGAGCCTACATCCACAGTTCTTGACCACACTCCAGGTACTTGAGATTTGGAATTCCCTAAACAAGTGATCCCAAACCCACTCTTAGGGCCTGAACAGGCCTCTTCTTGTGGTTCATATATCATTGAGGGGTAGTCAAAAGGCTACTTTTGGTGGAGGTGAAAGTGTGAAGGTAGACCTGGGGTATGTGTGCTACAGTTTCCACACACACACACACACACACACACACACACACACGTCCACTTTTGGTGCATGATGGGGCTGGGGTGAGGAGAGAAATGGGAAGGCTACAGGCTGGGGCCAAGGTCTAACTCCCTTCTCCACCACTGCCATGTTCTGGAAAGAAACTCCAAATAGTATGAGAATCCTAACAGCAAACCTGGCTATTCAAGTCATTATGAAGGTATGTTTGTTGTAGTAGGAGACTAGAACACACTTTAACAATCTGTTAGCTTGATTTATACATAAATATATGGATATAAATATGCAGACCTTCCATTTCTACTCTTGCCCTGAGCACAAGACTGGACAAGGGCTCCACACTCCAGCATTCTTTCTATTTCCATCTCTTATTTTGGCCTCTTACTTTCTCTTATCTTAATTCTTTCCAACTAATCGGCCTTTGAGCAGACAAATAGTATGGGTAGTGGCAGCTTGAGATTCACATTCTAATGAGGGGCAAAGAATCTTCCATGCTGGTTCTA